GAGAAATATTATGTATTATGTAGCTATCTTTTCCGTTATTGTAAATAAAATAATTTAATTATTATAAATGAATTATTGAAACTATGAAATAATGCTTGGTAATTCAATCAGTGATTCAATTGTTATAAGTAAATAGTTAAAATTAATATATAAATATATCGAAATGCATTACTTTACTGTTTGAATAATTTATTTGAAACAATTAAATTATTTCTACACATTATTTAATAATTTTCACAACCTTTATATCAAACGATGAAACAATTAAATTAATTATTTCATTCGATAATTCAAAGTCATCTCTCTTAAGTACATTGTTCAAGATTGTTGTAAATTATTAGTTAAAAAAATTTAAATAACACTTAGAAACATTACAGAAAAGAATTTATTGTTTAATTGTTGCAAGTAAATTGTTAGAAATATTAGATAATGTTTAAACAATTAGAATATTCAGAAATATTATTTAAAAATTTACTTCGAAAGTTCAATCGATGTGCACACGATGAAGGTTCAACTTATGACTTTTTTCGTGCTCAATATAAAGTCAGTGATGCACAGCAAATGGTAATCTTTGTAAATTCTTCTTTCAAAAACACTCTTTCTATTCAATAATCAGTAATTTTAGTTTTATTATTTCATAGTCTTCATTAATTTAAGGCAACAATAAATGCTGTAACGTTTATATTTTTTATAAAGTGAAACGTTTGCACGATTAGTTTTCAACTTATAATTCTGTTGACACATACTAAATGCTAATTTAGAAGTCTGTGACATATAGCACTAATTTATGTAGAATGTGATCATATTTAAAAAAAAGAATTAGATGGGCGTCTTTTAACAAATAACATTGTACTATAAAAGAGAAAATTTGCGTATAGTTTAATATAATAAATATAATTTATAATTTAAGAAAATAAATTCTCGAAGCAGATACGGCTATCTGTCCTTATTTTTTAATTTTAATTTTCTTCACTAGCAGTGCTACAGTGCAAAACTTGCCTGAATCGGTACGACAGGATGTGACACGAAAATGGTAAGGGGGTCTTTAACCCCTCAATTGTGGGCCGGAAAAATACAATGTATGCGATGTCTATTTATATACCTCGCCCCAGACGATAATATAGTATACCTCGTCTATAACAAAGATAGAAAAGCAAACGGTTATTTCTACAGTCTCACCGCTACGCGGCGCTAGTGTTTCAGTGTCCATGAACTGTAAACAAGTTCAGTTTGTTTAAACTTTTTCAAAGAAGTGACATTTCAGTACAAAATTTATTCTGCAAGGTGTTACGTATACCTTGCACACGGAGTTGTATCATTCGTACCATGTCTTCGATACACATTGACGGAAGTTTAGGCGAAGGTGTACGTATTTAAAAATTGATCGTTTTATAAATCGTATAAGGTTAGATAATTAAAAGTATTTTTATTAGGATTTATAGAAGTATATATAAAAATTATATATACACATAATATTCACATGTAAAATATATTACTTTATAAATGAAATATATTACTTTTAATATTTCCGCATGAAATTTGAAAAATTACGCCCGTGTTTCCAGGGTGGTCAGGTATTAAGAATAGCACTTTGCTTGAGTGCATTATACAGAATTCCAGTTAAAATCGATAACATACGAGCTGGTCGTCCCAAACCTGGACTTGCTGCGCAACATTTGAAAGGTACAATTTGTTGAGCTATAACTTTAAATTGTTTTTAATTTTGTTATCCTTTCTTTCTCTTGGTTCTTAATCAAACATTATTACAGGAGTGGAATTGTTGAGAGATATGTGTAATGCAGAAGTTCAAGGAGATCACATGGGCTCGACAGTTTTAGAGTTCAAGCCTGGTCAGTTAAATGCCAATAAGAAACACACATTCCTCGTGGATACAGGAACTGCTGGTTGTATTTGTTTGTTGGCTCAAGTAGCTTTACCTTGCGCCCTTTTCCTCCCACAAAAAGTCACGTTAATTTTCAAAGGTGGTACGAACGTTCCGATGGGGCCACACATTGAATATTTTACAGAGATATTCAGACCGTTACTTAATAAATTCGGGGCTGATTTTGATTTTAGAGTTGTAACCAGGTACATATTAGCATATACAAACTCCTAGTATTTTGCTACGAACTACAGACATTTATAGAATATTCATTTTTTGATAATCTATGGAGGGGTTATTACCCAAAGGGTGGTGGAGAGGTACATCTCTACATTAAACCTGTACATACTTTGAAAGCTGTTACTTTAACTGACCCAGGAATTCCACGTGAAATAACAGGTTGGGCATACGTTGCGGGTGTAGTTCACATTAAAGTATGTATCTTGTAATTATTTTGATAATGTAATTCTCACGTTACAACGCTTTGAAACATGTACTAAATATAATACCTTGTTTATTTTAAAGGAAGCGTATAAAATGGCAAATGACGTAAAATCAATTTTGACAAAAGGTTTAAATGAATTTAATGTTCCACTGCCGCCTATAAATATCGAAGTTTACAAAGAGGATAGATCTGTTGCTGTTGGTAATGGATCTGGCATCAAGTAAGGTTCAGATACTGCAGAAAATTATGAATTTTGTTGACATTTATATATTTCTAACTGAACAATGTGATCAGTGTAATGTGCGCTACAACTAGCGGATGTATCATTGGCGGGTCAGGATTGGGTTCTGGACGTCAAGAACAAATAGCACCAGGTGTACAGGCAGCTAATGAAATTTTGGATACGATATTAGCAAGAGCTTGCGTCGACGAACATGCACAAGATCAGGTACATATATTTTCACAAAATAATTAGAGTATAATTTCTTAATTTTGTAATACGACATTGTCATACATTTCAGCTAATTATACTATATATTTCAGCTAATTATTCTCATGGCTCTAGCCAAAGGTATTTCCAAAATTAATCTTGGAAATAAGAAGCTCACTTGTCACACCGAAACGGCTATAAGAGTAGCAGAATTGATCTTAAAACAATTTAATCTTCATTTTAAGTTATCTGAAAATAGAAATGATGGAGGTAATGCTTCATATAGTTTAGAGTGTGAAGGTTGCGGATATGAAAATAAAGATATAAAATAAATAACAAAATTAATTATAAATTAAAATTTATCCAATAAGTCTTCTCTTTTGCAATATTTATATACATAATTTTTAATTAAATTAATAAATGAATTCTGTTCATAAGAATTCTCGATAAGAATTGTTATTCTTGTTTTTGTCTAAAGAATGGTTCTATCGTTCGCAAGAATTCTCTTTCAAACACTTCGTCCGAAAATCGGTTTACGGATGCTCTGTAAAAATAATTTATACTTGATACCATTGCCAATAAGATTTTCAAAAATATTAATAAAAAAATAATACGAGAATGACGATACCTAGCAACCGTCCTAATAGCATTTTTACCTTCGGAATGCATGTTAATAATATGTGCCATAATTGTTGCGTACTCTTCAGCTTCTGTTGCTAAAAATCCATTTTGCGATCCTGGTTGAATTTCTATTATATCAGCCCTATGATTATACACGTATTATAATTATATATTAGTGGATATATTTATTATTTTACATAGTTTACATTTAATTTTATTGGTTGCACCAACGGCCCTGAGTCAATCGTAGATATTTCTTTTGATTATATTGAAATTTTTTAATTTCAATTTTCCTGGTATATATTTTCGGACAAAAATTGAGAACTCTTAGACTATATATTTTCAATTATTACTTTACCTTGGCCCACCAGAAGCATGAGCTACTACAATTAATCCCGCTGCCATGCACTCAACAATACTTATGCCAAAATGTTCATTCCACATTGTATGCAAGCCTATCATTGACCGTTGAAATTCCGATAAAAGTTCCGAGTATGGTACGTTCAGTTTAAATTCTACATTTTCATCTAATGCAAAATGTTTTGATAAATCTTGCATATCTTTCATACGTACTTCATCTTCAAAATTTCGACAGGAACCAATAAGAATTAAACGAGTCTAGAAAGATTATGTAACATGTAAAATTGCTTATTATTTACATTGTGTTGTATCGAACTTACTTTCTCCCAAATGTCTTCTTGAACAATTGATCTAAGCTCATACATTGCTTTCAGCATTAATGGATGATTCTTTTCTGGTCTAAATTGGGCAACTGATAATATACGAATGTTCTTACATTTTTCATCATCATCGAGAAGCGGCAGGGATGTTAAGTGCTTTACATTGCATGGTGGATAAATTTTATGAGTTCTCAATGGGCATTTCCAAATTGCGTTAATATGTTCTTCAGTCCATGAAGAATTAACCATTATAATTTCTGCTCTGCTACCAACCCAACCATATATCTAAAATAATCGTTATAAATTATAATATTTAAGTATAATTAACGAATAATCTTCATATACATACAAGTCCAAATAATTTATAATAAACAAGTTTGGCTGCTGATAAAAATGGATTTCTAGCTATAACTCTACTATTATTATGTGAAACAGTTCTTCTATAAACATGTCTCAACATGTCGGTTGAAATTGTAGGGTAGTGAGTATACGTTGCTACTCGGCATCCACCGATATATCTAAATAACGGATACGTAAATGCATAACCCATGGTATCAATGTAAATGTCTGAAACAATATTTCATGCATCATGTATGATATGTACAAATCAATTGCAAACATTAATACGAGACAAAGTTTTCTTCACCTGGTACAAAAGTATTTAAAGCTTCGAGGGCCAGCCAAAGTGATCCAAAACTTTGCCCCAAAAGTGTGAAATATGGATACATTGAAGGTTCTACCCATTTGCGTCCATGCAAATATATAAATTCGATTTTCTGCTCGATTTTGTAATTAAATACCTTCTCAGCCTTGTTTAAAATTTGTTCTGGATGTGCATCAAGATCACCGGTATAGATAGCTATGTGTACATTGGGATATCTGCAAAAAATTATAATATGTGAATCAAATTATATTATTTTTTTGATTAACTAATTTACTTAAGATAATTATACTTGTTTTGAATAGCACTGACTGCAGCCCAAAGTACTCTTTCACCACCCCCGCCAGAATTGCAATAAGGATGAAAGAAAGCCACAACTGTTTCGCTGTGCGTTCTATTCGCTCGCATTCTGGAATATTGTTTCCTCAATATTAATAATAAAATAGATAAAATAATAAGTACACAAAACATCTTGCACAGAATTATCCATATCAGCATATTCAACGAATATAGCATACGCATCCTAAAAAAGTACAAAATTATTAGACATAATGTCCAAGGTTGTGAGAAAGTTGTGAGAAAAGTGTTTGATGTTTTGGCAAGGAAAAAGTACAAATCTTACATGAAGAAATGAAAATTCATTTTTAAAATTTTTCTCAATTGTAAAACAACAAAAACAACGTTAAGTGGCATGTATGCTGCAGTATTTCTTTAATATCTTCTGCGCGTATTTCCTTAAAATCTTCTGCACGAGTTTACTGAAAGTATGTCTTTATTCTAATTACTATTGTGCTCATTGTTTCGTATACTGTTCGACATATATAATGACATGTCCCTGCGAAACAAGATATGTGAATGTTCTGATTTGTCCAACGATAATTTTAAATTATCTTCTAGAAATATATTATGTCACGTAGCTTCTGATGTAACTTTGCCTCTACTTTAGGTTAGGCTAACAGCTGTTAGATGCATGTGACATTTAAATTTAATATTACTCCTAAATTCATTGGCAAATTTGTGCGAAAGTCCTTTGACATTCAATTTGTGTACATACAAGAGAATTTTTGTTATTATTGCAAGAAATTTTCTGTTGTTATTACACAAAAGATGTAATCGCGCGAAAACTTAATTTCTTAAATTAGAAATTAAGTCGGATATTATTTCGAAATTTTAAACTAGTTTCACCACTTTTACGTTCAATCTACTTTCGTAAAGGACAAGCGAAGGAATACAGGATGAAACGGGTTCGATCTTTCTGTGATCTTTGGTTTTGGGTGCCAATCTCAGTTGGTATATCCCTGACAATAAGACTAACCAAACCTCTCTTGCACATCTCATTGATGGAAGCACGTCACTGAAGCGTGAACAATTTAGCGTCACAAATATGTGAAGAGAAACTCATTGTTCGTCTATTGCTTGCTCCATGTATGTAGTTTATTAGCTGTCGAATGGATTTCGGTCTCGAAACTCGAGATTTCTTTACTTAAAGTTACGTTACATTTGTCGAGCAATTGTCAACGACAATAGTTTGTGAAACAAGGAAGAAAAAAGAAGAAAAAGAAATTTGTTCGACCTAATATATTTTGCAAATCTGCTGTTTTGATTACTCTGTCTCTTTTTATTAATTCGAAGTGGAGTGTATCTTAGTCACCATAGTTGCGATCAGTGAGCAAGATCTCACGAGTGATGTATCCTCTTTCGGTGGTATGCAATCTGCGTGAAACAGCGAAAGAAGTGAAACGTAAATTGAACTGTTCACTTTGATGAAAGTGTTTCGTTTCACGTGTAGAATTTGAGGGTACGTATTCTTCTTTCGTATATTTTCTAATCGTGTATTAAACGGCGTTGAAGATTTGCCACGATAACCTCATTTTTTAGAATTCCAGAGGTTAACGAGTAACAGCGCAGATAAATAGTATTAGTAATTTAATTCGTTTTTCGTTCTTCTAGTTTTAACAATTCGTTCTTCGTTCTTCTAGTTTTAACAATTAAACACGACGGTTGAACACGATTTAGTTGTTTGCTTATACACTTGTTCTTGTACAATTCTTTCATCAGTGAATGTTTCATGTATTTCCTTTGACTTTAGAGTGTACACCAATTTTGAATGTATTTAGTTGAAAAGTACTACTAAGTAAAATTTAACAATGTTGAAACACAAGCAATTCTATCTATTTGTAATATTATTTTACAGAAGAATGGAATCGCAGATCAACGCAGAGGCATTGGCGGATGACAACCACCGGCTTAATAAAGTCAATGCAGGTAACCTTATACATCTGCTATGAGTTAGATGGCCATAGTACAATTTTCACAATATACATTAAAACTTACATTAAAACTTATATTTTATCATATTTGAAAATCAATGTTTAATCGTTTACTTTACAGAACAGGCTGATAAAGAAGAAGCAGCAAACGCGGAACTGAACAGCACAACAAAGGAAGAGTAAGTAACCTTTTCATACTATGAGCGTTCATACAAAATGTAACATACTTTTGTGTTGAAAGTTATGAATCACTTCACTATTTTACTTTCAATTTTTGTATTCAGTTCCAAACGTACTGTGTTCCTCTTATGCGACAAGAAAGGTGTTTGTATAGAATAAATATTTGACACCGACAATTATTGCTGATAGTATTATCGCTTATCTTTAATTATTTAAATGCCGCCAACTGGCCAAGGGCAAATCATTTTTTTTATCACGGATAATATATTGGCGAGGAACGTTGGTGTTTAAACGAGACGTAAATTCGTTAAAAGGAAAACATGATACATGTAAGCCAATCGTATCGAAGACGTACGTAACGCAACAACGTGCGATAGTTTTGAAAATTAAGCAACAATACTTTCATGACGAGACGCGAAGAATAGGAGTGTTATTGAGCGCTCGTGTTTCAAAAGCCGTTCAAATACGTGACACGCGGTAGTTTGATTTTCTAATTCAAAACAATCGAGTAGATCGACTTTCGAAATTTGATCGTGATCCTATTGATCGTTCAAACGTATCGTAATAAGCGTACAGTTGCCAAACATCGTACATCCTTCGCTGTCCTCCATTGGACTAACTTCAATTTTCTCGCGAGTCAGCTCGAGAAATATAATTTCTTTTCCGTTACTTTAACAATTGTGTGCTAATGCGGAAGATCGCATTAAATACGATATAAATGGCGTATAAGTGGCGGTATAAGTTATTGAAGTCTATCGCATACTTGGGGTAAGTGATTTTATCCCTTGTTAATCCATGTATCGCAAAAAGGCCTGTGTGAATCGAAGCTTTGCATTCGTTCTTGAACGTTCAGTGACGAGGGATAACTTTGTGAAGAGTTCAAATAGTGCAATGCGAGAATTTTGAACGCAAGAAACAGCAACGCGCGAAGAAATTACGTCCTCCGACGAGAAATCTGACCATTGAATTGTCCGTGTCTTTCACAGAGCAGGACTTTCTCTCTTATTTTCCGATATGCATGCATGCATGTAGATATACCTAGTCGCAACGAAACACCCATTTACTCGCAGCTATTCAATGTTTCACGGCCAGTGTTATTATTCGATCTAGTTAATTTCGTTTTTTTCAAATTTTTTTCGTGTTTCCGCTTGTTTGTTTGTACAGTTATTATCGACAATGTTACACGAATTCGAAACGAAAATAATGAAACCTGTTGCACGATTTGTTTCCATTTTCTCCTGTCTGTTTGGTCCTCTACGAATTTTCGTGTCGGGTTTCACGTTGAAAGGCAGTGTTTTCAAAGAAACGAGATAAAGACTTGCGTTGCTATTGCGTCAATGTTCTTATGGTGATTTACACCATAGTCGTGTTAAAAGCATACTTTTGATCGTCAAGTATTAATATTATTTTAATATCAGTGTTAATGTTAAAGAATAAGTGAGTTGCTTCAAATCCGAATGAAATTTTATTTATTTACAAGTTCGATCGTTACGCACTGAAAAGGATGTTGGAAATGAGCAAAGGAGCAATCTGATGTAAGCGAAATTTTGCTGCAATGTTTTTTTTTGTACGTATATGTATTGTACAGACATATATTTAACAAAATTCTGAACAGGTATCCAATATGGTATAGACCAGTGGTTCTCAATCTTTTTTTCTAAAATCCTGATGCCCCACCTCTGTGACACATATAATTCTTATTATTCAGAAAGTGAATTTTTAACGTGGAGGAAGCCTAAAAGGTCATTCATTTGGTCTAAATAAACTTTGAAAGAGCATGACTAGTTTTCTTCCATGAAAGAAAAAAGATTGGAAAGTTAAATTTTCATTTAAAGAAATGCAAAAAATTCACTCCTAATAACTTATTTCCGAATTACCTCCTATGTTGGGAATCATGATAGACGAATTTGAATCTCGACACTAAATCGAGCAATTAACTTTGTTTAACTAACAAAAATTTTTTTCAATTTTTTTTTTAGAAAATACACTGAATCGAAGAATAGGAAGTATAACTAGTATTTCTTTGTTGATAACATTCAGTTATCACAGAAGCTTTCCTATCAATTTTGAGAGGAATTTATCGACGATTAAAATATAATATTTGTGGCAAAGAAATTAAAGTGCAAAGTACAAAGGAAAAGTATCTCTATTGAAAAATATCCTCCATTGATATATTTTATTAAAAATTACTCGAGTATCTAAAAATATATTATTACAAATATATGTAAAATTTCCATAGAAAGTTATAAATTGGTCATTTTGACTATTAATTAATAACTATTAGTCATTTTGACCATTAATTTTGGTAATTCGAGTGGACGGAGAGAATGGAAGGATTAACGTTTGCAATGCCCTCCCAGTATCGTGAACAGAATGTGAATTCAGTTTATGTAAAATTTAGAGCCTCAGACAAATAAAGCAAAGCAAACACTGCAGCTTGTTTCCTTATTTCGGTGCTATGTAAAACAGCTGATAACAAAGAGTAACCCATTAATATTTCCATTCGTTTTGACATTGTTTCCGGACGTTGATTCGATCGGCACACGACGAGCAAAACGTATAATCTTCGAACAAGTGATTAAAAATTGTGCTAGGATGGTGAAATATCCTTTAATTTTGTGCAAAATTCACAAAAAGTTCGCCCAACGTGAGTCAAACTCGCACTGCCAACCGTTCTCTTACCTGCAGCTTCATGAGGACAATATGGTCGAAAATGTGAAATTACTCGGGTCAGTATGTCTTTTCTACGATATAGAAAGGAAACGATTTTTTTTTTTTTTTTGTTTATGAAAGATACATCACGTTGTTTTACACGGTGAGCCAAAAGTTCCTTCCTTTTTAATAAAGTATCAAAATATAAGAAAAAACTAATTTTATTAATTCAAGTTCAAACATGATTTTTCCATTGTATTTCAAAAATTTGTAAAAAAAGGAAACATTAATAAATTTACTTTGATAGGAAGTTATTTCTGACTCGGTAAATTGCACAATTACACGTATATAAGTAAGATGACTAGACTTGATCACTTATAATCACTTAAGATAGAATCTCGATAATTGAAATTTATAAGGGAAGGAAAAGAGACTTTCCTCTCGTCCTCGAGTTTTCAGACAAAAGGCATTTAACAAACGAAAATTCGATTTATAGAGGCGTCGTGATTTCTTAACCTCTTGCGCTAGTAACGAGTTCGCGGACCATAACGAGTGACCAAATCGTATACGATAATTCGTCTTCTTTTTGAATTCATCGGTATATCACTGGATAGAAATTACTAAGAAGTGATAAATCTATTATTTGTTATGCCTGGGTTATACTTAAATATACTTAAAACTGAGAAAATATTGCACGTCATTCCAGCGCAAGAGGTTAAATTAACTTCTCGTTCGCGTCAGCGATTCCCAACATTTTTTCTCTCCCCCATCCCTTGATTAGACTTTTCATTCAAACAAGTTCGATTTCTTTTCTTTTCTTAATTTTCTTAGATTAACTGAATAATTAACCTAATGATATTTCAAATCAAAACTTTGTAACTTTCTCTTCTCTCGTGTTCTTATTTTAACTCTTTTTTTTGTGTGTGTGTTTTCTGCCATTACCAATATTTAACCTGAAATAAAAAATTAAAGCTTGTAACTTTATAATTAGATATAAATATCTTTGTATTGAAAATATAATGTTTTAAATAAATTATATATTTAGAAATAAAGATATAAAGTTAAAAGCTTTAATTTTTACTTCAATATTATTCTCGCGTAAAACCGCAGGTTGGGAACCACTGGATCATCTAAAGACACGAAGATTTCCTTCTTTTTCTGCATTATGCTATCTACTACGAGCTCAAAATGAGCAGTCTGTGTCTCGTTTATTGTTCATTATATGCTATTGTTCATTATATGCAATTTTAACACTAACAATTCAAATAACGACACGCTACAAGGTATAGTAATGGTATCGTTCGAATTCGATTCGAGGAAAAATTTCCAATCCATAGCAGCCATATCGCAGAGGGAATTAGAAATGGCCGTGTGCAACCGTCCTTGCGGAGAAGCAAGTCGACTAGTTGAATGAGTGTCGTGAGCAAAAAGACCGATTGGGGATCGGTGGTGACTGTAGGTGATAGTAGAAGTTGATACAACTCAGTCGGTAGTGTCACCTCGAGCGCTCGTGTTTTGATTCTTCGCCTCCCCCCCCCCCCCATTCGCCGCCACCTCCGTGAACCTGTTCGCTTTTGGAAAACGTGATCTCGATCCGGCTGACTAAAATTGCACTTTCCAATTCAGGAGATCGTCAGGTTCACTTTGCAAGAGCGTAAAACCATTTACTCGTCAAGATCGCGGATGATCGGGTATCTTATCAGGGTATCGCGTCCTTATCGACACTTTTAGTGTCCGGGGTCAGCCTATTTTTTTTTTCTGAATCTTTTTTTTGGTGTTTTGATCTCGCCAATCATACACGCACTTCTTTTGACGACATTTCGTTTGTTTTTTTTTCTTTTCTTTTTCTTTATTTTATTAATTTTTCTCGCTTTCCTTTATTTTGCTAAACTTTCCTTCCCTTTATTTTCTTTATTTTTCTTTTCTTCTTCTTTTCTTCTTCTTCTCATTCCCTTTCGTTTGCCGAGAAACTGCGAACGAGTTTGTGTCGCAAGACTCGGTTCACGATCTCTTATCGTGTTGCGTCTAATGCTTGGCTTGTTAAAAATTCACTAATCGCTCCTTAAGATTTTAGTCGAATTGCGATTTCCCGTGCAGTCTCGTGTGTATCGTTGGTTCGTAAAAAATTCGATCCAAAACAGGAGTCGTTTCTTGTGATTCAGTTGCTTTTGGAATTCGAAAGGAAAGATGGACGACGACGATAGGCAACCTTTAATTGATAAGAAATTATTCGCAACAACGGACTCGTTTTGGTAAGACTTTTCGAATCCTGTAACGATGAAATCAATTTTATCTCTCTGGAAACAAGCGCAAGATAAGCGGACGAGCAGATCCGCGATAAAGAATTGAAAAAAAAAAATTGTTTATTGATCGGAAGAATCGTATCGAGGTATAAAAACTCACTGTTGTACATGCTCCTTTGTAATTTTCACACTTGGCGAGCATACGTGCAAGTTACGTATACATGTAGCTAAAACGTATAAAACAAGCTTATTTCCTTTTAAGATAAGGTGGGACACATTCCATTTGCTTATCGCTCTTTTAATACTTGAAATTAATACTTGGTAGCGAAATATTCTGTTGGCATTTTGCTAACGGAAAAATGTTTGAAATGACAGTGTAAGAAATGTGTATTACTTATTAGAACTATCATTATAGAAGTTTTATTCCATTATATGTTTCTATATCATTATAGAAATTATTGTTTATTAGGACTATCATCGTAGAAGTTTTATTTCATCATATGTTTTTGTATCATTATAGAAGTTATTATTTATCAGAACTATCATTACAGAAGTTTTATTTCATTGTATATTTTTATATCATTATAGAAGTTATCATTTATTAGGACTATCATCATAGATGTTTTATTTCATCATATTATTTTTGTATCATTACAGATATATTTTATATTATTTATTAGAACTATCATTATAAAAGTATTTTATTTCATTACATGTTTTTGTATTATTATAGAAGTTATTATTTATTAGAACTATCATCAACTTATTTATTAGAATCATCACTATAGAAGTTTTCTAAATAATAAAATAAAATTTTATTATTTTATCATTTTAACAATCAATATTACTAACAGTAAATTTCAGATCTTTTACAAGTGCTTAAAAGACAGAAAGATACTCTCTTGTCAAAATTAATATTGATCACTGTTTGGACATAATTGTACAAATCTATTCACTTTAATTATCATTTAAATTTCAATGACTTATCTACTGGAATATTTTGATACGATTGTTGATAGATATTTTCATTTGTTTATTATGTCTTTGCTAACCAATCAAAGTCAAGTACATAACACACATAACGTACATAACGCCCGCCTTAAGAGTATTAATGATCAGTTAGCGTAACTGGAAATAAAAAGATATATGTATTATTCCTTCGATGGCATTCTAACACTTGAACGACGATAACCTGTTTCCGAAGTTGATCGATAACGACCATTTTCTTTATTTTTTTTTTTTTAATAAAACTGATATATATGTGTAAATGTCACCGTCTAATGTCATGGCGATATCTGCTACTGCAATGATGTTTCACTTATTTATTGATCTGGGAATATTTGTCAATTTTAGCTTACAATAACTGATACTTATGCTTAATTAACACAATATTTATACTAACACTATAATAATTAATCACAATAACTGTACACAATACGCAGATGTTTCTGTACTCCTGTATGTGTGTATATACACACAGGGTGTTTCCTGTAACGCAATGCACGATTTTTCTCCTGCTTACAGCCATCTGACAAAAAAAAAGTGTTGAACGGTGTACAGTAGGTATATATAAAAGAAATTTCGAAAACTGTTTGTTTTCATAGCTAAATCAAGATCACTTTGGATGAAACAAATAGGAACACATAATTTTTTTTCCACCTTAATGTAGAAAACATCGAGACGAATTCAAAACATATATTATATGATATTTTTATTAATATGTTACTCCATTTACGGTAGCGGAAATGTGAACATTTAGCTTACGTTAACTTCTCGTCGTATTTGATTCTAAGACAGTGTAAACATAGTTGACCTCAGATTACTGAACGTAAACATAGGACTAGAATCTATTTGCAGTGTGTCATTGCGGTTCCTTCGTTTCATATTTCCAATATTTGGTGCAAAGTAATCGCTTGCAACAATGTGTTCTTTTTCTAATTTCGAGATAGTTGAAATGCTGTTAATTTTTGGCGATTGCAAGAGAAATTCTCGAAAAGCTACTAAAGTGTACAGAGATAGATTTCCGCAACGAGAGCAACCTTCTGGAGCAACGATTTCCACTACTGTAAATGGAGTAACATGTTAATAAAAATATCATGTAATATGTGTTTTGTGAATTCGTCTCAATGTTCTCTACAATAGGGTGGAAAAAAATTGTATCCCCATTTGTTTCATCCAAAGTGACCTTGATTTAACTATGAAAACAAACAGTTCTCGAAATTTTTTTTATCGATACCTACTGTACACCTTGTACCGTTCAACTTTTGTTCTACACTTTTTTTTTTTGTCAGATGACCGCAAGTAGGAGAAAAATTCGTGCGTCACGTTACATGAAACAGTCTGTATATATACAAATCGGAAACCAAACGAATATACACTAAATGTACGATACACTGTACTATATATAAATATACACTGAATATACTGTACGCTATACTGTACTACAAATATACACTGCATATACTGTACCCTATACTGTACTACAAGTATACACTGCACATACTGTACCCTATACTGTACTACAAATATACACGGCACATACTGTACCCTATACTGTACTACAAATATACACTGCACATACTGTACCCTACACTGCACTACAAATATACACTGCACATACTGTACCCTATACTGTACTACAAATATACACTGTACATACTGTACCCTATACTGTACTACAAGTATACACTGCACATACTGTACCCTATACTGTACTACAAATATACACGGCATATACTGTACCCTATACTGTACTACAAATATACACTGCACATACTGTACGCTACACTGTACTACAAATATACACTGAGTATACTGTACATTAAATATAGAGTGTATACATATCGTAAAGAGCAAACGAAACTAAAAGAATCAATTATCATCGTTTAGGGATGAGGACGAAGTTGTTTACGACGGGAGGACACAGTTGCTCCACGTTCCTCCGCCGCAGGAAATCGAACACTCCACGAACGCCGCGTCCACCACGATGAGAGTGAACATCGAGGGTATGAGATGTCAGAGTTGCGTGAAGAACATCGAAGGGACCATAGGCAGCCGGCCGGACGTTTTAAGCGTCAAAGTGAACCTGCAGGAAAAGCTCGGTTACATCGAGTACAAAGCGGGCGAAGTTACGCCCGGCGAACTGATCGAAGCAATAGAAGACATGGGCTTCACCGCTTCGTTACGCAGCGCCGACGAGAGTGGCTCCGTCGAGAGGCACCGTGACGGTCGTTCGTTGCAATCGGCCGTCAGTACTTGCACGATACACATCGATGGAATGACCTGTATGTCTTGCGTGAAAACCATTACCGGTGAGCGTGGAGTTTCGTCGAAAAATAAGTGAAACAAGTAAAATAAGTAAAATCAAATTTTTTTATTTTTCTATCCTCGCTGTTGCAGAAACGTTGTCGGAGAAAACGGGGATAAAACAGGCGAACGTTAGCTTGGAGAACAAGGAAGCGACCGTTTCTTACAGCGATAAGGAACTAACGGCCGAGCAGATATCGGGCTTCGTCGAGGAAATGGGTTTCAGCTCGTTCGTTAAAGAGGTGAACGGTAAGGTCCCGGATGGAAAAACGCCGACGAATAACGCTTCTGCACAGCTTTCCGCGGAGCTGTCTCTGCCAATGAACGGGGGCGGTGATGTGAAGGGGCCTCGTGATCAAAAGGCAAAATGCCTTCTACACATAACGGTGAGTATCATGCGTAAAAGTGAATGACGATTTATTTTCACGTTTTTCATTTATTTATCGTGTGGAACCGTTACGAACCGGTGTATTTCTCAAAGGGGATGACCTGTGCTTCCTGTGTTGTTGCCATAGAGAAACACTGTAAAAAATTGTACGGTGTGAATGGTATCTTGGTCGCGTTAATGGCGGCCAAAGCAGAAGTCACGTTCAACCCGGAGAAGATAAGGGCGGTTGACATTGCGTCCAGCATATCCGAATTAGGCTTCCCTACTACGTTGATCGAGGAGCCGGGGACCGGCGAAGGAGAAATTGAATTGAAAGTAAGTTGTTTGTCAACGCTGCAACTACCAAAGTGGTCAAAATGACTAATTTATGATCATTGTCAAACATTTTTATAGACGTAAAAACAGTGTGTTTTTAAAGATTTAAATAATTTTTCATGAAACATATGAATAAAAGCTTGTATTATATTATAAAGTGTAATTGTATCATAAGGTTTTTCTATTATCTTGTCTTCAATGTCTCTGATGAAAATTTTATGCTTTAATACTAGAACTACTAGCGATTAAAGTATATAATTTCCATTAGAGACATTGAAGACAAAAAAAAAAATAAAGAAGCTTTAATATAATGCAGAATAATTGGTCATTTTGTTGATCACTTTGGTAGTTCTAATGTTAAATCCCAAAGCCATCTATTGGTCCACAATCGAATCTAATCGTTTCATTGATCTTTCTCACTGATTTTTGTAGATCACAGGTATGACGTGCGCGTCGTGCGTGAATAAAATAGAATCGACCGTGAAGAAATTGCCAGGTGTCCATTTGGCCGCAGTTGCGTTAGCAACTCAGCGCGGCAAGTTCAAATACGATGTGGAAAAAATTGGCATCAGGGACATTATTGATTGCATCAATAAGCTAGGTTTCACTGCGGTGTTATTCAGTAATAAAGATAAGGAAAACAGAGACTACTTGGATCAAAGGTAGACGCAGTATCCTTATACCAATTGTTTTCAGATATAAGAGTATATTTATAGATTCTATCTATCTTCTTGTTCTTACAGGGAAGAGATAAACAAGTGGAGGACGGCGTTTCTGGTATCCTTGATCTTCGGTATACCATGTATGCTAGCTATGACGTATTTTATGGTGATCATGTCTTTTGGTGAAAAAACGCACGAAGACATGTGTTGCGTGGTACCTGGTCTTTCCTGGGAGAATCTAATTCTTTTCATATTTTCCACGCCGGTCCAGGTAATTTTGAGTATGCTTCTTTGTATCAAATTAAAAACATTAACTGAAAATTGGTCTTTGACAAAATGGTACTTACAGTTTTTTGGCGGCTGGCATTTTTACGTTCAAGCGTACAAAGCTTTGAAACATGGTACAACGAATATGGACGTCTTGATTTCCATGACTACCACCATATCTTACTTGTACTCAGTCGCCGTACTTACAGCAGCCATGATAATGGAGGCACACGTCAGCCCTCAGACGTTTTTTGATACTCCTCCAATGTTGTTAGTGTTCATTAGTTTAGGAAGATGGTTGGAACACGTTGCAAAGGTTTGGATCTTTCGAGTTTACTGTGCTTGACGCTAGAACTACCAAAGACTAAGGCACAGAATCTTCATCAAAGAAAAAAATAGAAAAACTCTGTAAAATACAATAGAACATAGTAGAATACAAAAAATCTTTTAATTCTCTAAAAATACACTGTTTTACATCTATAATACATCTAACAAAAATTATGGATCAGTCATTTTAACCATCTAGTCTAGATAGTTTTAGTGTCAAACGTTTACTTGAACGTTGTAGAACGAAAAGTAAAGTTGATCGTTTCAGGGCAAAACTTCGGAAGCTTTGTCAAAGTTGTTGTCGTTGAAAGCAACGGACGCGGTCCTGATCACGTTGGGCCCGAACAATGAAATATTATCGGAACGTTTGATCAGCATAGACTTGGTACAACGCGGTGACATCCTAAAAGTGGTGCAAGGTGCCAAAGTTCCCGTCGACGGTCGAGTTTTGTCGGGTAACTCCACCTGCGACGAGAGTCTGATCACCGGCGAGAGCATGCCGGTACCGAAGAAGAAAGGATCGATCGTAATAGGCGGCTCGATAAATCAGAACGGCCCCCTTTTGATCACTGCCACGCATACGGGGGAGCACACAACGTTAGCACAAATTGTACGATTAGTGGAGGAGGCGCAGACGAACAAAGCTCCTATTCAACACTTAGCCGACAAGATAGCAGGTTACTTCATCCCTCTTGTTATAGCCGTCTCTATAGTGACTCTGCTCGTTTGGATAATCGTGGGATACGTGAATATAAACAGTTTGCCAATCTCGCACAACGATCAGATCAATAAGCACGGGATGAACAGAGAAGAGATTATATTCCAATACGCTTTCCGAAGCGCGCTTTGCGTGCTAGCGATCGCTTGTCCATGTGCGTTGGGACTGGCGACGCCGACTGCCGTTATGGTCGGTACTGGAGTCGGCGCGCTGAACGGTATCTTGATAAAGGGCGCCGAGCCGTTGGAAAATGCGCACAAAGTGAAATGCATCGTGTTTGACAAGACCGGGACGATAACGCACGGCGTGCCAATGGTGACAAAAATAAATCTCTTCGTGAACGAAACGGTTTGCTCGCTGGCAAAGTTCTTGGTCATTATTTGCACGGCTGAAACGAATAGCGAGCATCCGATCGCATCAGGTGAGAGACATTGAGAATACTTTGAAATACCTTTAGACGTTACGTCTAACGGACGGTCGCCAATAAATTTGCTTTCTTTCTTCTCAAGCGATTGTTCGGTACGTGAAGGAGACAATAGGCTCCGAAGCAACTGGCCAGTGTGTGAATTTTCAAGCAGTCGCCGGCTGTGGACTGAAATGCAAAGTGTTGCACATCTCGACCACGTTGGCAGAAGCGTTGAAGTCTGAGAAAATTCTGAACTACGTGAACGAGGTGAAGGGATTGCCATCATCCGGGACGCATGTTTTGAACAGCGTGTCGATTGATATTACGCCGGTTGCGAACACCGGTCAGGAGAGACAAAACTTGGAGTTGTTGCTAAGTCCGGATTCTCATGGTGATCAAACCAGCCCCGACGATGTGTATGAAATTTGCATCGGCAACAGAGAGTGGATGCGAAGGAACGCCATAAATATACCGCAAGAAGTGGAGGCGAAAATGACTGCCGAGGAAGATTTAGGGAACACTGCTGTTTTAGCTGCGGTGAATAACGTACTGGTGGCTATGATCAGCGTAGCCGACACGGTTAAACCGGAAGCCCATCTGGCGATTTATACTTTGAAAAAGATGGGTTTAGAAGTGATACTTTTGACAGGGGATAATAGAAAGACTGCAGTTTCCATTGCCAGACAAGTGAGTTCTCCTTTCATTTGGCAAGTCCGAATTCTGACTGTGACAAATTCATGCGATATCTGTCATTTACGTAGGTTGGTATTACTAGAGTATTTGCAGAAGTGTTACCATCGCACAAAGTTGCAAAAATCCAGCGTTTGCAGGATCAGGGCTTGAGAGTTGCGATGGTGGGAGATGGTGTCAATGATAGTCCTGCTCTTGCGCAGTCGGACGTTGGAATTGCGATATCTTCCGGTACGGATGTTGCTGTTGAAGCTGCCGACGTTGTCCTCATGCGAGTAAGTCAAGAAAATTAACGTTCAGAAATTCTGACACTCTACGTCTGTGCAACAGATGCTTCATTAATAATGATCTTCAGAACGATCTTCTAGATGTTATCGCGTGTCTGGATTTATCGAGGAAAACAGTTCTTCGAATAAGGCTGAACTTCTTATTTGCTAGCATCTATAATTTATTGGGCATTCCTATTGCTGCGGGAATATTTAGCTCTTTTGGGTTCTTCCTTCAACCTTGGATGTCGTCGGCGGCGATGGCGTTGAGCTCGGCATCTGTTGTTGGTAGTTCTTTGTTATTGAAATTGTACGTATCACGGATGAAAAAGATGTAATTTCATAACCAAGGGTGTGAAGTTGCAATGTTTTTTGTTTGTTTTGCTTTTACAGGTATCGTAAACCGACGAAGGCTACTTTAGAAACGCCAGAATACTTATCAGCGATGCACGCTCGTTCTACCGCAACAATGATTGACTTAGACACGATATCACTTCATCGTGGTTTAGATGATTCTGTAATACCTATTATGCATAGATCAACATCGACATTGTCCAGGTACGCACCACCTACTTCTATGCTCTCAAAATTTGTACGGAATTTTAATAATCCTACCGCCTGATAGAATTTCAGCAAAACTGATTTTATGACATCGTAAATCGATGTTGTTTCGTTAATTGTAACATACTAACATGAAGTTGTTAGCTTTGTTGAATTTTATGTGCTTGTTATTTATCATTTACATTATTAATTAATATTGTATTAAACTAACAACATTATTAAAAATTTAATTTAATTCGACCAATTAGAAGTTATAGTAAAATTACTAATTCAATTAGCGTTTCATAGTTTAAACAGCAAATTTCTTATTGACAATCACATCATTTCAATTGTATCGTAAGTAAATAAAACAGGGTGTAAATTTTGAATTAAATTTTGTAGAAGCATCTTTTTAAATCATATGATGATTTATTGTTAGCTACATTTAAAACAATATAAGACTGATTGAAAAGAGTTCGTCGAATAAAACTGTGACTTCTTGATAAATAGTTGTAAATAATATTCTACAATAACAATTGCTTCAGAAACACCTTCAATTTTACTGTAAATATCAAATGTAAATAATTAATATTAAATAAGTTATTTTTTACTGTACATCGATTTCAGTTATTGTAAGAAAAGAATTTTGTAAATAAATACTCATATTTTTTAAATACGCATATATTATCTATTAAACAAGTTATTTGAACCTGAAGGATTGGCTTTCAATCTTTTGCATGCTTTCACAGTATTTCATAATATTTGTTTTACAGTATTAACATCTTTAATTGATTGCGAGAGAAATATTATATTATAATTATAGCACCTTTTTTCTTGGGCTAATTTGACAGTGTTAACCTGCTTACAACAAATAACAATGATACATAAAGTACGTTGTAATTAATTTGGTTTTTGAATTTATATTTTAGATAACATTTCAAAGCACCTTGACTTTCTTTAAATGCTTATGTTATTGCAATAATTATTCATTAACAGTGCTGCATTCAGGTCTCTTGTGTGTGTAATATTTTACTGTATATCTATCTTAACACAAAAAGGTGTGACATAGTTGTAAGACATAATCTCATCTTTAAGTATAAGATAAGGTAATACATGTTTTGATTTATATGCTGATATTTTAACATTTCGTAAATAAATTTAACAATATGTTTGTCTTGTTGAATTCAATTGCAGGCTATTTAGGCGATCTAAGGACGATGTAGAAGGTCGACTTCTAAGTGAAGATATCGATGAAATTGATTTGGTAACAGATTTTTCTGATTATCGAAAAAATATAAAGGACCATACAAACATAACACCTTTATGACTTGTAAGACTACTATTGCACGTATTATTTGTTAGTTTGCGTGTGCGTGTACATATATATATATATATATATCTTATTAATAATATAATGATCTGACATTCAATCAATATTCGATTTTTCAATTTTTGTCGTGACATTTTATCATTACTGTAACCATTAAAGTGTATTTCTTTTATTTTAAACAGTTTCAGAATATTTTTTAAAATTAATTGTTAAATTTTTAATAGGTTTCTCAAAAGGAGAAAAAGCCAAATAAAAAGCGAATAACCTTAATAGTATTTCCAGCAATTCAATGCTCTTTTTTTATATTAAGTAAATAGTACTGTAATGTTTATTTTTTATTTCATTTTTTGAAATTGTTAATCATTTTTTGTATTGCATTGTTGTACTTAATATATTTATTTTATATAAAAAAGTGCGTTATTCTAAGAAATGGAAAAATACCATTACCATATTTTTCAATAAAAAATATTATAAAAGTGATAGGTAAAAAGTTCATTGGGACCACAGTTTTGTTCAATTGTGTACAAATTTAAAATGCTTCAAATTTTAACAAAATATACAGATATTGAATATGATGAATTTTTACAGCTTGAACATATTCTAATTAAAATTTTTAAACAGAAGATTGTCTACTAAGCTATATATCTCAATTTATATAACGATATTCAATTGTACTTTTTACCTATTATAAATATTTTAAAAATATGTTTATTTTTTTTATAGAAACGCAAATTAATCATAAAGAAAATAAAATGGAAAATAATATGTATATTAATATATTATGTTTATTTCATATTTAAGACTAAACTACACATATATGTATATTTAGTACATTGTTTGAGGTGAAAGAGATATTGAATTTGTATATATATTTGTCTTAAAAATTTATATTATATACCATAAAGTTGACACTATAAAAAAATATATATATATGTTTCAATATTTGTAATAAAAAAGTATAAAGTCTTGCATAAATCTAAAGTTTAATATTTAAATATTATAATATTTTAGTTGTACTGATTGACTATGCCAGCACACAGTGGGATAAATGCATTTGTTTGTGACAGAATATCATCAGACATCATTGTTGAATTTATACTGTAAGCATTAAAGTCTGCTTGAATATTACTGATATCCTTATTGGAAATGTGTGGTAAGTTTTTGTTATTCATCATAGGACATATATCTGTATGAAAGTTCAAATTACTTTGTCCTTCTAAATGATCTTTTATCAGTGGCAATTGTTGAGAAGCAACAGAATTTTTCATATCAAAGTTTGATTCCAAATTATTGATCTGAGGAGTGCAAATGGATTGTGCATTTTGTAATGAATGATAATTATTATTGTTGTTAATAGAAGTGATGTTACTGCATCTATTCAAATAGCAGTCATTGTAAAAATTTGAATTCAATGAGAGATTGTTATGCATTGAATGGTGTATATTATTATGTTGCAAATTTTCGCTGTTAGTCAAATTTTCATATTGTGTATTAGATATGTTATAAAGTAAATCTTTATTCACATGACTGCAGTTTTGATATTCTTCAGAGATATCTTGTGAATTTACCAAATTGTATGAAAAACGTGTCTCTTCCATGTCAGAAAATTTCTTTGAATCTAGTTTTGATTGAGCAAAATGTTCTATGTCATTCAATATATTTAAGTCATTATGTTCAATATTATGGTTCATATACAAATGATTGTAATTATTATTGTTTGAAAAAGTTTGATCGTTGTAAAGATATTTATTTTGTTTTCTACCATTCATATTATTTACAGGAGGAATCTCTGCATATTTCAGTACATCTTGTTTTGGAATATCTTCTACATGTTGATTTTCATTATAATATGAATTTTCAATTGTCTCTCCATCATTTTTAGATTTTATTTTTTGCGTGTCAGGCAATTGGTCATAAAAGCAGGGCTTTTTATCAAACATATTCTGTGTATCAACGAAAAAGCTTGTAAACGATGGTAAATCCTTGTTTGTTCTATAATGCCCGTCTGATTTATATTTTGCAAATAAAATATATAATTCATCTTGTGTAAGCATTGGATACTTTAAAGACTGTTTAAACAGCAGATTCAATTGTTGAATTTGATACTTATATGCTTTCTTATTACACTTCAAAAACATATTTAAGTTGCTTGATTGTTTAGTAACTTTTTGAAACTTGCTTGTGCCTTTTTGTTTTGCTTTCTGCTTCACATTCATTTTTTGGAACGAATCACATTCTTTTTTCTTTCTAACATTCTATAAATATATGATTTATCGTTAATTTGTCTTGCGGATAGTAAAACTACAAAATAATGTAAACATCTTACCAAATTGTTGTTTTTCGATATATCATTTATATTTCTATCTTCACTTATCTGTGCCGGTGGCTTTAACTCTTCCCTTCCTTTAGTCATATTTGAATTATCTGAATTTGTAAAAAGGGATTTATAATACAGTAATTAATCTAATATTATTTCAATATGAAAATAAAATGAAAAATTCATTCCATGTCAATTAGAATATTTTGTTTTGAAAATAATAAATAGTATAAGTAACAATTGTACTATTTATATATTATATAAAAGTAACATATACGAATATATAAATTAATGTAAATATTAATAACACTTACTGCTTGTTTCAATTCAAAATCTTCGTTTTTATCGCTTATGTTAAAACCTTAGAGAACCCACGTGAATGTACGATGATACATATATTGTGTATGTTGTGTATGCAGATACGTTTCCCGCTAAAGTATTTATATATTTCAGTTGAGAAACTTCGTTGTCTCTTTATTTGTCAATGAAAGAAATATTGAGTTCAAGTTTGAATTATATCACGTATTATAAATCAACGATTAATCTGAACTCACCGAAATTACAGTAACGTTTTATCATACGTATTTTAGTGAATTTCTCATTTTAAACGATAGTCTTTTATTTTCCCTATTTTAGTATGTACGTTTCCAATCTCCGATGAAGCGATGTTATAATTTTGTGAAATTTTTGTTTAATCCTCTTCGCGATAAAACGATAAAAACGTGTAGAAATAACTTTACGTTAAATAATATTTTTTTTAATGATAAGGACATAATAAAGACAGGAAAACAGGTAATTCTTTCATTTAGTACATTTAATACTGTATCATACATAATGAAATTAATTTTTTTTTTATTTAAAATATTAGAAACTATTATAGATAAATATAAATATAACTTATAAAAAGAACTATATAAAACACTTGAAACTCATTTATAACAATTAAGGCATTTGCTTTGTTCTTCATAATCGTATCTGTGAAAAGAAATAAAAATGAAATTCTCTAAATATATCTATATATGTGTGTGTGTATCAATAGATGTTTTTACTAAATGTCAAGCTAACTTACACAGGCAGCGAGCAGTTTTTGCAGAATAGTTCTGAGCAACCAATGCACTCCAACAGACAAGAATTACACAAAATTTGATCACAGTAAGAACACTTGCTGAACATGCTTTGATCTATCACTCGATTGCATTCACAAAGATCATATTTTGGTTGGGCATCCTTGCATAATACAAATAAGAAGAGAAAAGTATTAATTTTGTATTTAAAAAAAAAAAAAATAAAACTTTGTGCCTATGTTCTGACTTGCACAACATTGAGACAAAGGCACTTAACGTAACTTTGTTAATACCAATAAATTTTATTCTCCAAAAGTAATTCACTACTGTTACTAAATGGATAACTTACCTTTACAACTTTGTCCGCTGCTAATAATTCTAACTTACTGTTCAGTGTCATTTGTTTCGAGTGACGTTCGTGTTTGGATTTCGTGTACGAGGAGGAAATTCTCGATGGTGGTACGTCGACAGGGTTTAATTCCATAGAGGTGTTTAATCTTTGCGACAACGTTTTTACACCTTTCTTCAATAAGTCCATTGTCTTGCCTGTACAAAGTAAAGTGAAGAAAAATGACGGTGCATCGTTATAACATCATTTGACTTTCGTACGTTGTAACCTCATCGTACCGTAAATACTTTTCATTCGTTCCTCGTGAGAAACGCCGTTGTCTACTTGTTTTTGGCCAACGTGTATCTTTAACTGGGGCAGTAAATTATCCTCAAAGGGACAAGGACGTTTCGGCATTCTTAATTTAAACCTCAATTCACAACAGTTCAACGATTGAGTAAACGAGCAAAAGATTCTCGCACATCGTACCACGACGAAATTGGACACGACGCGATGAACTACCATGTGGTTCATGAACAAGTGTGCGTGCGTATGTATGTACGTGCACACCGTTTAACCTCTACGTTAGATTGTAATTCATATGCATTTGTCGTTGCGCTCTGAAATTTTGTGTGAAATTAAGTTAAGTATACGTATATATCTACAAAATGGATACATACATGGATATGTACACAAAGAAACATCATTAACGCATATTTAGTTGCCAGAGTTCAACTGCTTGTTGTGTCACGTTGCAGTGTAAAAGGTGGTACGTACTTAAATTATGATATATCTAGGAATTAAGGTTACAACGGAATTAGTAATATTTGTTTATTAGTAATGTTGCATTATTATTATTACTTTTATACATATTTGATATTGGCCATCAACAAATATGTTACAATTTCCATCTCCCCACAATCTCGCGTTTATTTCGTTTGCTTGGAAACTAACGATACTTTTTTTCTTTTTTCTTTTTTTCTTTTTCATAATAATACGTAATAATTCATAATCCACTGCGCGACAAGTACCGGTGGTACTCGTTGGTACAATAACTGTACACTGTGTGTATGTACTCGTGGTTTGCCTCGTAAGTAAACTATACAAAAAGTAGTCGAATAATGCCGAATGAGATTGGGATTCTGATGAAACGAAACAAAACGAAACAAGAACAATCGCGATGTCAACTGGTTGGTTACATTTGACGGTACAACGATCGTTTCTCCCTAAAAACAAGTCGATATGTACAGATTAACGTACTTGTTCAAGGTCGGCAAGAAAGAAATCTGTGTAATCGATTCGTGGGACACTCGAATCACGATACGCGTACACCGTTTTGCCGTGGTTTTTAGGAGTTGAAAAAAAAAAGGAAAAAAGAAAAAAAGAAAAGAAAAGAAACTGATTCCTCGCTACGCGGAACAAGGGTGGGTCTCAGGGCAGGGCAGGTCGTTTCGTTTGTTCCTCGTAAAAAAATAGCTCGCTGCGAGTGCGTCAAATTTAGCGCAAATCCCTAGTCCCTCTGAACACGATCGTTCAAATTTTACGGATACGTTTGTCGTCGAACGCGGATAGTTCGAAGATGGTCGAAGGTCGATCTTGCAGTAATCGATAATCGCACCGGCCAATCGGAGAATCGAAAAGCCGAGGAATTCTAGAGTTACGCCCTCTACACGAAATTGTGTGCACTGCGGATTCATTTGTAAGTTCGTTAATGCTGACGATTTTCGATGTGATACGATCTTTTTTTTTTTTTTTTTGTTTCTTCCAGGGGCGAATTAACGACTCTTCGATCGACGACCACCCTCTGTCGGATGCGTTTTCTATTTGCAAAATAAGCGACAAGTAATTCGTAACTTCGTCGTGATCGGCTGCATACGGTGAGTACCTAAGTATTCATACATGCAATATGTATATGTACGTATCATTATCGATCAGATCATTGTCTTCCATTTTTTCAAGTTCCATTCGTTCTTTGAAAACCGACCAATTTTTCAGTAGTTTGAACGGTGGTTGAACGAACGTTATATGTGTTCCAAACGTTTCGTTAAAAAAAAAAAAGAAAAACCGAGAAAAATTTAGAATGTTCGTCTCGGTGAACTAACAGCGCAACAAGGTGACACCAGCTGCAAAGAAGAATTACGTTTCACGTTGTCACGTTTGTCTATCGACTTGCTTCACTGCTGTACGGACATGCCCTTCGACTTTGATCGGTTCCCGTTGAAAGTTCAAACTCACGCAGGCAAGTGAAACGGAATTTGTGGTTTTCACAATGAGGAACACGATCTCGGGAAACACAGTTTTTCGGACTCACAGCCGTTATTGTCAGTTGTCATGGACGTTACTAAATACTCGGTACATACAACGCGTAACTGGCAAATCGAACCGCTGTACCACCGGGATCCTCCAGCTAGAACATTGATTATGCATCTTTGATATGAACCGTCTCGCTACGAAACTCGAGTGGACGACGATTTGTCCCTTTGCGCCTAACAAGCACGACCAAGTGCTACAGTAGTCCCGACTTAAGCGATCCATAGTTGGGACCGAAAGCGGGGACGCTTAAGTGGGGAGATATACTCTGCGAATTGTGCAGAAATATCAGTATCAGATATCACTCGCTTTGTACAGGCTGACCACTAGAAAAACTGAAGGGTTTGAAAAAGTCATAACTTGTTCATCTTCAATCTTTTTTTATTTTCTTCTTTTTTTTTTCTTTTTTGTAGGTTATAGAAAAAATCCATTAATTCCAGTAACAACTAATCCATTAAATCCAGTAACAACTAACTAAATAAAATTGCAGACAGGTATGTTCGTGTGCTTTTATTGCCAAATAAAATAATAAAAAATTTAAGAAACACGTGTTTTCAAAAGTTATTTTTGTTTTGTATCGTTCAGTCTTTCCAGTGACCATCGTGTATAATGCAAGTATTATGTTTCACGCCGCTTTGGGCAAATCGCTCGGTAAAGCAGCATAGAGCGAGACAGTCCCAATTCCAAGAATTGGTGGGGATAGCTACAGATACTTAAGTGGGGGACTACTGTACTTGCTTCTTGCGAAAGAACTTCGTCGTAACAAACTATTCGACAGAAACTATTCAGATAAGTTGGCTTCCAATAATAAGTGTGAATTAGTCAATTCGTTTAAGGTTTTATAAAGTTATTTTACGAATTTCAGGTCTTCAAATGATATTCAGGCAATTATTTTTATATTTTAATTCCAAACAAGTTCGATAGCGTTCCTAACCATTACCACACTCCCATTTGATACGGAGATCGGTCTCCTTTATCACTCGATGGAGCAACACAACCGTGTTGCTAAACATTCTCACAATCAGTGAAAGACCTCACACGAAGTACGTATAATCGTAACTCGCAATGAGACTCGTTGGATCCCTCGTGTACGACATTTCGATTTCGAAACGGTTTTGTCGTCGAGATATGCCTGTATTAAAAGTGTGCCTCGTGAGATTGCTAAATCAATCGTGAAAGCAATGTGTTTTTTCGTTGCTGCGTGCTAATGAATATCGATTAATTAGCATCGAGGGTTCCCCCTGCTTGAAGAATATTTTGATCTTCCTTTCTTTCCTTTCTCCTTCATTTTCTTATTCTTTAGTTACGTTTCGGATCGCGATTTTGGTCGATAATTTTCTGACAGCCCTGAGTAACGTTGTTCCTTATTCGTACAAGTTTTTCTTTTTCATTATTCCCTTTTATAATCGCCCGTTGCTCTCGTCGAATTGAACTCGTAATAATAACTAAACAAAATTGCAGATAAGGTATGTTCGTGCGCTAGGCTGTGCTAGAAAATTACCGAAAAAAATTTGTCCCCTTACACTTGTACCAAATGCTGTTGTTCTATGGAAATACGCCCGTACGTCTGTGAAAGCTACAGTGCCTGTCGTTATCGCGTAAAACAAAAATGGCGACGATCGGATGTTGTCCAACGTGATCTCCCACTTTTGTGTTTTGTTTGTCAACGACGCCGGCGCAGAAACGAATTAAATTAAATTCAAATAGCACAAGTGCAAAAGGCAGGAAGTTATTGACGACGATAGAAACGAAAGTTGTTGATAGATAGTTTGCGTGCTGACGTGAAAAGCTGTCGAGGTATTAAAAATCGGTGCACACACACACACATCGGCGTCTACGCGTGAATGGCGAAGAGATCGGTAGCCCAACGTAAAACGAAGCGTCTCCGGGATGTGTTTCTAATTATTTTTTGCTTACAGTGCAGCTTGGAGGTTACAGGTTCGCGCTTTTACTAAACTTCGCTAACTAATCGGACGTTGTCAGTCGCGGCGTTGATTTGCGAAAATCGGATTGGCCAAAGACAACGCTCCCATTTCGCTCCCCTTTCTTTTCTCCATTTTGAAATTACACACTTGCCCCCCCCCCCCCAAGATAACAGACGTTCGAACTAAGATTGTGAATAGTTTCGCGAAACCGAAACTTACAAAAACAGCTCGACGAATCGATAAGATTTTGCTACCTTGTTCTGCGGGAGATGAAATCACAGAGTTTGTTCTGGAGGATGATTTTGCTTGGAACCGCGTCGAATGAGCAAGCTCGAAGGCGAGTTTGGCGACGAAGCAGGTAATGGCCAGAGAACGAGCCATTTTCGTTCTACAGGATAGACCAAAAATCACGTCCTACTAGAATCCCTAATTTTTTTTTATTATATATATATTTTTTTTTAACTTGAAAGAAAATTTTTACAACGTAATGAAAAAAAAATCGATGTTGTGAACTTAAATTTAATTATTTAAAATTAATAAAATTAGCTTTTTCTTATATTTTGAAAATATTATTAAATATTTGTTATTAAATATAATATATATATGATAATTTATAAATATTATTAAAATATAAAAAAGTATGAAAATATTATTAAAAAAAAAAAAAAAAAGTGGGAAGGAACTTTTGGACCACCCTATAGTTGACGAGCTAATTGGAGCGGTTGGCGCGCGCTCGAGAGGTTGGCAGAGATTTCAGTTCGTGCAGAGAGAGTGGCGAAACGACGTTACCGACGTTCTCGGGGGATAATTAGCCTCGTTCCAGCCTGACTTGCGCGTCAAAGCGAACATTGTTCATAAATGGAATCGTTGGACGCCAAAATGTATGTACGTGACGTCGAGCTTTGTTCTTTTCTTATTTCTGGCGCTGATCTGCCCTGGATTTACGAAGGTTTGTAATATATACATATGCACGATAATTGCACGAACGTGACAAGCACGATAACGATCACGGTTACAGTTTTGAACCTCGAGCGGCGAAAGAGAATATTTTATAGTAAGTGATGCGTTCACTAGCTGCTTAAAAAGCTTTTCGTCATAGTATGTAGTCGTCAATCGTTCAACAAATGCAACGAAAACAGTGGACACGGTGTCTTCGATCATTTATGAAATTTTGTAAGTATCGTTCGAATGTAAATCGACCATGAGGACCGAAGTCTGAAATGCTTTCGAAACGAGTACAGTAAGAATTGGTTGGATACTACGAAACGCGAGAGTTGAAAGGTCGTTCTTTGTTTTTAGAAAAGAACACGAGAACCACTCAATGGAAAAAAAAAAAAAAGGTTGGTTGGCTCGATCTCTGTACAATTCGACAACGGTACAATCTGCTCAGCCGGATTTCTTCAAACAAGGCTGCCATAGACGCAGGTTCAAGAGCACAGTGCGCGCCCCCGTGTGTGTATTTAACGAAAAAAGGGATCAACAAGTAAACGCGTGCGATAAATCAAAATCGATTGCAAATCGCCTTATAAATTGTATAAAAATCTCTATTTGCCTAGCTTAATGCCTTAAGGATACGGTATATCGGGAATTCGTGTAATTCCTACAGATTTATGCCCAGTCGAATAGACGTTGTGTTGCATTCTTTCATCTCGTCTCGCCTCGGCAATCTCCGGGCCCCTGTCCACCAGGAAAAGCACGGTGTGCCCTCTGTGCGCTCAGCGACAAGCACGATGTGAATTTCACTTGAGAAACGTTGACCACTCGTTAAAAACGGGATCGGCACAGTGACTTTTGCAAGTATGTACGTCCGAGCTACGCTCTACACGCAGATTTTTCATATTAAAAGTATACACGCGCGTGTGGCAAATATAGATATACGCGAGTAATTACGCTATCGTAATTTACATTAGTAGTGGTGCAGTTCGGGGGAACGAATAAGACGGAGGTAAAACAGAAAGCAAATAGAGCGGAACGATCGATAATTTTGGTTGTTCGCGAGATGGCGAAGGAAGTACACTTATATACACAGTGGCACGAGACAAGACTTGAACGAAGATAATTGAGAACGTATCGATTCGTTGAACGAAACAGGTTTGTTGGATCGACATCTCTGCGAGATGATAGCAGCGTGCAGATGATTGGAAAAGAAAGAAAAGGCGAATGGCGTAATTGCGCGTCGGCACAGAGTCACAGTGAGGCAGAAGCGTGTCGGAAAAATAAATCGGAGACACGTGAGGGTTAGCGAGTATTACTTTTAAACGATCTGTCGTGCGATACTCGTTGACAGGTGAGAGGCAAGCGCGTGCGCCACACGGCACGCCCAATTGCAAAGGAAAAGGGGGAAAAAAAAAGCAGCAGCAGCAGCAGCAGCAGCAGCAGCAGCAGCAGCAAGCAAGACAGAAAGTGGTGCCGGAGCTGTTTCAATCGCTCGCGACACCTCTAATCCATTCATTCACTCGAGTATTCACCGAAGTACTTTAGTATTTCTCCCCGTCTTTAAATTCGCACGATATAAAATCCTAGCTTAATATGGCCGGTAGTTTGTTTCTCTTGTTTCCTCGTCACCTCCCCTCTTTCTCCTCCCCACCACCCCCTCCTCCTCTCCCCTTCTCCATCTTCTTCAATTACGTCTACGAGTTACTTACGCCTTACGAAGGGTTTTACATTAATTCGCAATTAGTAAATAGATAACCGCAAGCTTACGTCTAAAAATTCAATTACGAGTTAGTGGTGTGTGTGTTATGTCGTGTGACGAATAAAATATTAACGATTCGCCTCAGCCTGTCCGACAATCCCTCCCTCTTTTCCTCTCTCTCACGTACACGCACTCTCTCACACATGCACGCACGCACGTATTGCTCTCCCTTATTCGCCTCCCCCCCTCTCTCATTTATTATTATTGCAAGGTCCGTTTAATTTCTCGTTTGCATTCACGCACATTCCCCCCGCCCCTCCCTTCGCTGCTTTCGTCTCTCCACTAGATCAGAAGCGTAAAAAGTGCCCGCCGTTCGTCACACGATCGCAGCGTCTTTTTTTTTTTATTTTCTACCTGCAAGCTTCTTAATGGAATGCTGTAGTATAAATAGGAGATATCAGAATCGGTAAGAACGAGGTGCTCTAATCGCCTTTCGGTTAAACCTGACTTACGTCCCCTTTACAAACTATTTCCCCCCTCTTCCCTTTTTTTTTTTATTTATCGGTACAACGCTTGCACGTTTTTCGAAACCGGGTAAGTTACTTCGACGAGAATAACTTAAAAGTTATTCCCCTTTCTGGTTAGTGTTTGATTCTCGCGCCGAAAAAACACAGCGACAATAACAGGGGAGAAGACAAAAGAAAAGAATCGCAAATGTCCCTAGAACGAGCGAACGTTATCCTAACAATTTTGATCTACGTCGCCATGACAGGTGTGTGACGGAACGTTGTCACGTCGTCACGAATTTTTCTTTATTTTTACCTAGTAAAAACTACGACTACGTCGATTTTATTGGCAAATAGGATTGGGATTCTCCGTCCACGAGGCGTTGGTCGAAATAACGATCCGCGTGTTCCTTCGTTCGTACGGTGGGAACGAATAGCTGTTTACATAGGAACGAGTCGTCGTGTGCGATGTAAGTATACTAAAGCGAGAGCTGTGACTCTCTTCGACATTGCGATTTTTGATTCGAGTGAACGTTCGAGGTTTTCGAAATTTTTCTTGCCTATGCCTAACCTATAATCGCGGAAACTTTAGTGGCTAAGAAACGCGTCTCGTCCCGGACTCGTCCGTCGTCGACCTCTTTCTCGATCAGCGTTGTCGATCGTTGCTCGAATGACAAACCTCTCTTTCGTGGTTTTGTCGTATGCAGCATATCCAGAGATTGAAAAGCATTCTCTTTCACGTCAAAGCTTCGCTCTGGATAGCCCTCAGTCCGATTGACAACGCACACGGTGCGCAATTGACGACTCGTACGAACGCGTATTTTCTTTTTTCTTTTTTTTTTTTAATCGAAGTGTTTAACAAAAATATCTCGACACGACTGTTCAACGTTCTCAGAGTCGATCTGTTGGTTGGTTCGTACGAGACGATTTGCTCCGAGATCGAGATCGAGACTTCTTTTTTTTTTCTTTTTTACTGTGCGTTCGGCAGGATTCGACTTCGGCTTGCGCCCGTAACGAGCGACGATTTTTCGATTTAAAAATTCTGACGCCATGTCGTCTCTCTAATCGTAACGTTTGCAATAGAATCGTCGTTCCACTAAGAAGCCGGGATTATTCTCGAGATATGTGTGGTACGTGTGTGTGTATGTGTAACGAGATAAACGTGTACATGTATAATTGTAAATTTTTTTTTCTTTTTTTTTTTTTGCAACCGCTTATCTTTACCTAGCCTACGGTTAAAAACGCTAAATCTCTCATCTCTCCTTTTTTTGCTGCGACTTCCCGTCTCCCTCTCCTCTCCTTCCGCCCCCCCTTCTTTTTCCTTTTTTTTTTGTCGTTTGCTTTCGCAATAAGTAGCAAAGACAAAAAGTACGTACGTGGCGCTCGTAAGTGAAGTCTATTTACTTATACATGTACTTGTGTGTAATGTGTGTGTGTGTGTGTGTGTGTATATATATATATATAAATTGTTTATATATATATTTATTTATTTATTCATTCATTCATTTGTTTATTTATATATGTATATTCGTATTTATATTTATATTTATATATATATATTAGTCTTTTGAAAAAACGTTTTCTCGTGCGTGCAAAAAATAAATCTCTCGACGCGTCTCGTTGCGCCGCGAGTGAATTCTCTTCTTTTCTCTTTCTCCTAGTTTCCTCCCATCCTCTCTTTTTTTTTTGTTTCTCTACCGCTTTTCTGTCCCGTCGTACAACAGCTCGCGGGAAATATTCGCAAGGGACTTAATTATTCGGCGAGTTTCTTCGCTCGCGATCGTGCGTATCCGTAACCGATACGAGTGTCAGGAGCTGTGACTGTGACGTCGAGTCGCCGGAGAAGACTATCTGAAGGTTCGTCTCGGCTCGAAAAATGGAAAAAAAAACCGATCCGCGACCGGCGAACGGGTGGATCGTTTCGAAAAACTTTTGACAAGAAAATACCGATGGAACGTGTCGGTGTCTTTCTTTTCTTCTCTTTTTTTTTTTCTTCGTTTCTCGCTCTGCGTAAAAACACGCCTACTCGTGTTACACTAGACTCTTCAAAGCACTAAACAAATTAGAAAGTTTCATCTTTCATCGCGCGCGGACAATGTAAAAATAGCGTTAGCTCGTGAAACGTCGGCCGAAAGAGAGAGAGAGAGAGAGAGAAAGAGCGCGTGTCTCTCCCTCCCCCTGGAGTTTCCCCTTCGTTTCACGAAATTTTCAACAGTTACTACCCATTTACTAGCGGAACGTTAGTTGCGTTTACAATTATACTCGATTAAGGCGGCTTGGGATCAAACGTCAGGGTATCGTTTTCGCGCGTAAGGCATTATCCGGCTCCTTGTCGTTCGCGACGAAGCTGCTCGATTGCCTGAAGCGAGGTGAGAAATGACCTCGTCGTCCCCGAGTCAACTCACACACAGTTTAGGAGCAAGTTCCTAAGTCGAGGTGAAGAAAGGTTTTTGCTGCTGGGAACACAAAAGGGAGAAAGGGGCACGCGCGGGATAGAAGGTCGTCCCCCGTGCGTTCCGACTCGACTTCCCTCTTGGTCGTGTCATGTTTTGGAAACGAGCGAGCGGCCCTCGCCAACAACTGGACAGAACAGTGTCTCTCAGCAAAATACTCAACCACGTATGCAACAAAGTCGAAGTGTTAAAAATACAAACGATGCAAACTAGTTAACATGTCTACGATGAACAGAACCGTACTCATCGAAGGAAGAGAACGACTAATAAATAAGTTTCTAATGTCACGAAAAATCCGGAGCGGTCGAAGAGGGGTCATCGAAAGTTCGACCCGGTTCGAGAGGGTTCTTCGTTCTCGGGGGGGGGGGGGGGAAGGGTTTCTCTCGTTCGTTCGGACCCGTCTCCGGCTTTTTCTTCGGAACAAGGAGGAAAACAGAACAGAATCGCTAATTGACGATACAAAACAAGAGATATATGTATATGTATATATATATATACGTACCGGTAAATTTCGTTCTTACAACGGCACGATCCGACGCACGTATACCGGTTACGATGTCACTATTGCACTTCACATACAGGTAAAACCGCGTCACAGAGATTCCCCCGTGACGGGGAACGATCACACGATCACACGACCACCGTGCAACGAGGCATCGAAAGAGCACAGAATTCCCCTCCCCTTCCCTCCCCTCCTCTCGTCGTTTCTATCGGTCGAATACGCTCGTGCACGTGACGAAACACTCTCTCTCTCTCTCTCTCCTCCACTACTCTTCTTTCCATGTATTTCCGTACGTATCTTCTTTCGACGAGTTCTTTCCCCTCGTCTCTGTTTCGGAAAAATTGCGCGCAGGGGCGCGCGTCCTCCCGAGTTCCCCTAGTAGTTACTCGTAGTCGATCGATCTCTCTCTCGTCCGTTTATTCCCGAAAGGAATCGCGTCGACTGGGCATTCTCGCCTTTACGATTTAAATGCTGGATCTTTGCATCGGTGTCGTCGAAATTTCACGACTTCAGGATCGTTTCTTCCGATCGGATCGGATCGGTTGTTTGACGAAGCAAACTTGACGGGTTCGCGTGTACGAGGATCACCAGAATCTCTGGGCACTGTCCCACAGGTTCTTCAGGCTTGATCGGAACTCGAAACGGAAGTTCTGGTAGTATCACGCTATGTTGTTGCCGCTCATCGTGGTCACGCATTTTTTCTCCGGCGTGTTTTGACTCTCGGAGTTGCTGCGCACCGCCTTCGTCGGGCTTCCGGGGGTCGGCGTCGAGTCGCCTGGCAACGGATTGTTGTTGTTGGTCGACGTGGAGCTCCGGCGGCCGTTCTCCCGGGTCGGCGACTTCACGTCGAACACGGAGGTGTCCGATTCGATGTCCGAATCGATCTGCAAACGACACGGACGTCAACTGAATAATCGGACGATGGTTTTTCCAATACGCGTACAGATGTTTTTCGCACGGAGAGTCTTGCTATTGTCTCGCGAGCAACTAACACTAGCGCTAGTACAGGGTGGGCCAAAAGTTTCTTCCCACCTATTTTTTTTTTTTTTTTTTT